TTCTTTTTCTTCTTCTTCTTCTTCTTCTTCTTCTTCTTCTTCTTCTTCTTCTTCTTCTTCTTCTTCTTCTTTTTCTTCTTCTTCTTCTTCTTCAAATGAAAAGGGAGTAGTTGGTGGGTGCTTTGGTAGTGTGGATTGCTCCATTCTTTCCTATCAAACATCTATCGTCCTTATCTCACCTCCTTCTTTTTGCGCTTGTTTCTCTTTTGCAACTCCTCTATTCCTCGGTACTTATATATAACCTAATTGTGTGGCAAGTGCTTAAAAACACTTACTAAAACTAATATTGTGAAATATATTGCTGTGAACGATAGATCTCTAGAAGTTTTTTAATTGTTTCGTTCGAAATTTTAATAACGGTATGGTACGTATTTTGCTATTTGACGATGTAAAACTAAGAAGTAATAAGTTTAGCCTTAAATGTTTACGAAAAACGAACAACAGAAACGACAGTACTGTTCTGTTGTTGACGAAATGTTTTTGTTTGTTGAAAGTCTTACATTACATTACAGAACTAGAATATTGCCATTGGACTTGATTATGTCCATCAATACAAAGTTTCTTTGTCAAGCGGGTAAGACCTTTGATCTACATGTGGATGCACAGTCTAGATTTTAGATCCAGAATCTATTCTCAGTCTCAGGCTGCTAAGAAAAGAAGTGAAGTCCTTTGCTATTTATTTTGAAAGCGGCCTCGTATTTCTCATTTTGTTTGATTTTCGAACCTCTGACGACCTGACGTGCTATGATAAAGATTTTTTTTTATCGAAGCAGATTATCATTATGGCTAGATCTAGATCTAGATCTAGATCTATGTAAACCTTAGATCTAAGAAGAGAAAATTTTTACTTTTCGAAGTGACTATTCGGACTCAAGTCCGAATATGAAAACGAAGTGTATACAGACCCGGTAACCGGGAAAAAAGTCACAAAGTATACAGACCTGGTAGGGGAACTCTTTTGTGATTTCGGGAAGTTTCAGCGCCCAGACTCGGTAGTGTGTGTGTGTGTATGTGTGTGTGTGTGTGTGTGTGAGAGAGAGAGAAAGAGAGTGAGAGCTGGGGGAAGTGCTAGCAAAATGTATATGACATGCCCCAGTTGGCAGGAGGGAACGAGAGAAAGATAGAGTGGGAAATAGGTGAGGAGAAAGAAAGACAGAGACATACAAAGTACAAAGAAAAAGGGATGAATGCGAGTGATACACAGAGACAGAGGAGAGAGAGAGAGAAAGAGAGAGAGGGGGTGACTGCTCGATTGAAATTATGACATTGTTGTTCTTTTCTTCAAATTGTAATTCCTCCTACTCCAAAACGGAGGAAAAACGATCGTTCTTTGAAAAGACAACCGCAATCTTCATTTAGATCTAGATCTAGGCTAGCCTCGAAACTAGGCCATAGATCTAGAAGAACCTAGGTCTACCCTGAGCCAATAGGGCGCTGAAACTTTCCGAAATCACAAAAGAGTTCCCCTACCGGGTCTGTATACTTTGTGACTTTGTTCCCGGTTACCGGGTCTGTATACACTCCCATATGAAAAAATGTTATTCGGACTCTGATTTTTGTCCAGCATGACATCACTTCCGACTTCCTGTGACTCGTGACTCCGGCTTCCTGTCCTGCCTCACTCGTGACTCGCCTCAGGCTGGGTGGAGACAGGGATCACTTCGGGCAAAATGGCGTTTTGTGCAGGAGCGGAGTTTTTATCTTATATTGATGAATTTGAGGCCGGCCTGAAAAGTAATAGCGCTTCTAG